CTGCTGCTCGCCTCCCAGCGTCCATTGGTCCAACGGCCTTTCCATCCCTCAAAGGCCCCCCTCCCATCCTGGGATTTTCCGTCTTTTCATTGGCTGGCCGCAACGCCGTGACGCCACGCCGGAGCGCGGCGTTCTGATTGGGACACTCCAGCTAGACGTCACCGCCCGTGGTCCTTTAAAAGGCGGCGCTGAGCAGCTGGCGGGAAGTGTGTCGTGTGGGGGCAGTGGTTTTCGTGGTGCGCAATTAGCCGGTCTCTGCCCACGTGTGACCTGGGGAGTTCAACGCGGGGATCCCCTGCCAGGAGCCCCGGTGTCCTGGTGCACTTGGCAGAGCCTGGAGGGCCTGTTCCTAGCAGGCAGGGGATGAGGAGGGGAAGGCTTGTGTTTCAGTCCCCACTCGTGCCCCTGCCCTGCGAGGGGAGCTTGCGCGATTACTCATACCCCTCCCACCAGGTGTGTGGGCTCTCCAGCCCCCTGGGGAGAGGTCCCAGGCGTCCTGCTGGGTTTCATACTCCCCTGCCTGGCTCGGCAGCGCTCCAAGATGAGGGCTGTTGCCCAGGGAACAAGCCCCCTCTGCTTGGTGCTGCCCAGGCCCCCTTACTGAGGATGCCCCCCAAGGTCTTGAGGTCCCGTCAGATCCTGTTGCCTCTATGCCTCCAGCCTCGCTGGGCCTGCCACCTTGGCCCCAGGCCTCGCTGGGCCCACTTCTAGGGCAATGCATAAGTTGTGTAAGACGCGTGTGTCCCTCTGGCACTGGTTCCCTTGCTCTGTATGCACGACGCGTGTGAGCGTGTCTCCAACACTCATGTTTTGCATGCTTCCAGTACATGTGATGCCCCGTGTGTACACATACCTCACCTTGGCTCTTGGGCATTCACAGTGTCTGTGAGCCTGGTGCCCTGTGTGGTCACCACCATGCACGACTGCCAGCTCGGGATCTCAGGGAGAGGTTTTGGGGTGGAAGTGCTTGCCTGTGGGACAGCCAAATCTTCCAGCGGAGCTGCCGGTGGGTGGGAAGCGGCAGGTAACCTGGGCTCCGGTGGGTGGGTTTTAGGCGAGGGGGTAGAAAGGAGCCAGGACACCTGGGTCTGTCCTGAGATGTGGCCTGGGCAGGAAGGGGCTAGTGGCTTAGGGACCACTGGGGAACCAGGACTCCTGGGTTCTGTCTGCAGTAATGGGCCTGGGGTGCAGTGCCCACAGTATGGTGGGGGGAGGGGCTGGAGCCAGGATGCTTGGGGTCTTTCTATCCCTGCTGTTATCCTCCCTGCCTCAGTTTCCCTGTGGTAAAAAGCACTATCCCACACCCCAGCAGGCTTGTGCAACAGCTTTGCACAGCTCATGTGGCCACCTCTGTTCAGTGCAAAGTGTCTTGTGCTCCTCTGTAATGGGTGCACGGTTTCTTAATGTGGTTTAAGGTGTGTGATGGAAAGTTTTATGCTAGATGATGTGTGTGTGTGTGTGTATATATATATATATATATATATCTTGTGCTCCTCTTCCTGCCTGGAGGTTTCTTTTAAGCTGATGCATGTTCCTCTGGCCCAGGGTTTCACATAGCATGTGGGGCTCAGCAAAAGGCCCTGACTGTCAGCACACAGGGTGTAGGGCTAAACATAGCCCATGGTTGAAGCAGCCAGCAAGATCAGGCAGCCATGAGCTATTTATAGCCCCCACCTCCCCAAGCATTGGGTTTAAATAGCCAAAGCTCTGGTTATAGGGGGAGGGGGGATATGATCCCAGTCCAACTCCAGCCCCCTTTGCAACGGCATTGCCTTTAGAAGCAGGCAGTCTCCCCGCTTGCGCACAAGGAGGGGGCTGAGGGGGGCAGGCCCTGGAGGCTCTGCTCAGCATGCCGGGAGCTGTAGTTGAAGCCCTGGCTGGCTGCAAAGAGGTTTTGGGCTGGGGCAGGAGGTCGAAGGGGTCAGAGGTCGAAGCATGGGGCTGGGTTTTTGCTCCAGAGGGGGTATCACATCGCAGGCAGAGAACCCAGGTGTCCAGGCTCCCAGCCCCCCCTTACTCCAACCCCTCAGCCCCCACTTCCCTCAGACCAGGGGGAGGACCCAGGTGTCTGGGCTCCCAGCCCCCCTACTCTAACCCCCACTCCCCTGCCAGGGCGGGAAGAGACCCCAGGCATCCGGGCTCCCAGCCCCTTGCTCTCAGTCCCCAGCTCCCAGAGCAGGGAGAGAAGCCAGGCATCTGGGCCCCGGCCGTCCCTCCTCTAACCAGCCCCCCCAGGCTGCACTCCCCTCCCGAAGTGGGACGAGAAGGTGCCTGTCTCCCAGCCCCTGTCCTCCCGAAACGGAGCCCCCGCACGGAGATGGGGTTGGGGCGGGGACTACATTTCCCAGCATCCTTTGCATTAAGCTATGGGCAGAGCTTGCTCCTACCCGAGCTTTGCTCAAACAGGACGGATTCCGCCTTCCCTCC